ATTAAATCCCTTTGCTTACACTACTTATGCTCGAAGCTGTAAAATGGGAAGAAGCTATTGATTTATTATTCATACCAGACAAAAGAGACAAAAAAAACCTGTTCATTTAAACGAGCCGTAAATCGTAAGCGGTTAGCAGAAGGGTTAACAAATGAGTACATGGGAAGCAAAAGATGCGAAATTTGATTCTCTACGATAATTGTTTGCATAACTTTTTTTCTAAAGTGCATGGTTCGGAAATATTGGCCAAAACATTTGCCAATATCTTTTCGTAATTGCGACTTTATTTCATGTATTCAGTATAAAATAAAATTTCAAGTTTACGGCCCCCCTCCGAAAATGAGTCGATCGTAGCAAATGGATAAAAATAATGTGGAACCACATTCCACTGTTTGGAAAACGGTTTAAAAATCTCCATCAACACAAAATTAGATAAGTTAGTAAGAACAATAACGACGAAACGATTGAAATATTGAAAAAAAAAAGAAGAATATCATCAAAAATACATATTAGGGAAACGTGCCGGCGGAGCAAAATCTCGTCAATAATAAATGTTTAGTCAACACTTTTGAGGTACCGCATTCAAGGCACGTTTCCTAACAAGATCTCGTTCCCCTTTGGTTTCGTAAACAATTCATTTATTACTGAATTGCGTCACTCATGAAATATCGAAATTCACCCGCAATTAATGCAATAATCATGTTAACATTGTACAAGCAACCATGAAACAATTACTTTTCATTTTTGCTATGAAATTTTGAACAAACACGAAATATTCACCTCGTATTGAGCAAAGAATATGTAAATATAAATAAATCAGAAGACTCTAGGTTTGGCGAGATTTTTGGTATGGCAACTGGCAGGCAGACATCGTACATTATTACGCTTTAAAAGTTACAACACTAAAGGGTTTCAGGTCGGGTAAATGCCTACGCACACCCGCTCTCGTGGGGGGCGGGGACGGGGACGGGATATGTCGGGAATCGCACCGGCAAAAATCCGCACGATGTTTCACCTGCGGCGCTTATCAGCAGGGCCATGGGAACGCTTTCGCACACTTGCTTGGCCAGCGCTGGCTTCAACAGCCCTTCCTCCGGGAGTCCCCTTTCCTCCAGGTAAGGCCTGCTGTAACATTCGCATTGCTGTAACAGCGCGCCTTCGTACTCCGTCGGCATGGCAATCAGCCGTTTATTTTTTTTTGGGCTGGATGAGCCACTGTTGGCCTTAGGGGCCTTTACAGTTCCGACGGGCTTGAGGTGGCCTGGCGCACGAGGCGTCTAGCCTGAACCTCGGCGTCAGCCGTTTAGCTTAGGGTTCAAACATATAGGCACGATTCCAGAAGACAAGTATTCGATTCCCCACAACGCGCAACGGTGAAAATTGTGCCTCGATTTTTCCACATGTTTTAATGTTTCATCGTAAGTGCAGATGAATATAAAAACTTAATTTCAATGACAAAGGAGACGTATCTCTTTCCAATTATCGTTGTAAAATTTTATTTGCAGTGTTTTGTGTGCTGTAAAAAACATAGCAATAGATGTGCAATGCTTAATGCTTAAAATGCGAAAAAAAAATTAAAACAATGGCTCATATCTGATTATTTGGGCGAGCCCTAAGTAATTTTTCCTCAGACTCGGAAACATACATTTGCCGGTAAAACTAATCATTGAATCGAATTTTGTTCACAATTTCTGTTCTGTATCCTAGTTCTTTTCTCAAAAAAAAAAGTAGCTTAAGTTAGGACTTATGACATCATTTAACTACCAGTGAAAGTATACGAACGGAACAAAGAGAGAGGCAGAGAAAAAGACGCACAATTTTTTTTTTATTAATGTAACGCGTGAACATTCGAGTCTATTGAAACTATGTTTAAAGCACTCAACTAAACTTAACACGATTAAGTGACATTTCAATTTAATTTTTTTGTAAAAATGTTTTGGAACTTTTTCATTAATAATATTATGTACAGTATTATGTTCCAATGTTTGTTTGTGCGTCGAAATATGTTCGCTTGAACACAAAATATATTTACTTGTTAAATAAAGACTTTTACTGTTTAAAGAGGACGACGGATTACAATATTTAAGTGTTATATTATAGGCAAAAAGTTTTTCACTTAGTAACTTGTCAGTTGCAGAACACCTGTGAATTTTCACGCAGTGGTTATTGTAGTAACAAATGGCTGATCCCTTATTCCATTACATTAACCATATTTAACACTACCAAAAGCAAAATTTACGATATATTTAGGTTAAATGGATATCAGAAAATATATCGATATTAATAATCTAATAAAAAAGAAATAAAAAATAAAAACATGTAGCATGTAAATGCATGCTACATGTTTATGTTTAAAACTTTTAAAACTATAATTTTAAGTCATTATATTAAAATTAACTGTTAGATCTGTCTGTTAGAGGTGTCATAAGCACTCCGTTATGAAATAAATTGTTACGGTGCCTGTTTTTAGGTTTCCGTACCCAAAGAGTAAAACGGGACAGTATTACCGCTGTATCTCATGAGCCGTTAGACAGTTAAAATTTTCACAGATGATGTATTTCTGTTGCCGCTATAATAACAAATACTAAAAAACAGAATAAATAATATTTAAGTGGGGCTAAGTTACAACGCAACAGACATGATTTTTTTTATAGATTATCTATAAAAACGGCAACAGACGGAACCCTTCGTGCGCAAGTGCGACTCGCACTTGGCCGGTATTTTAAAATCTGTAGTAGTTGAAGCGCATACATCTAACTGTGGTAGGGCCCTGCAACAGTCTCGCTTTTGCACGAGTTCGGCGGGTCCGTCCGGCGAAGTACCAGCGTGAAGTGAAAGTGTTATACTTCTGCCTTTCTTCTGATAACTGAGGCCGCCGGGGCCTACTTTATTATAAGGTGGCATCGCATCTGCACCCCTACGCAAATTCTCCCAGTCAGACTATAGCTGGGTACCGATCGAGCCGAGGTCCGGCCCTCGCGGGCACAATCGAATCGGAATATTAAACGGGTATTGAGTGAGAGACCAAGCCGAGGTCCACTCTCAGGAGCCCTTGAGCCTAGCTACTTCATGGAGCGTCCGCCAAAGCGCCCTAAGAGCTTGGTGGCCTCCTAAACCGGTGAGAATAGTAGGGCGATGGCTCGAGCTGAGGCTTCCTCGGGAGCCCTTCAGCTTAGTCACCCATAAATCGAGGTAGGGCGCTGAACCCGGCCACGTCAAGCCCGGTGGATCCGTAAAGGCCCCTAAGGCCAACAATGGTTGATTCAGTCAAAAAAAGCAGCCCTACGGATGTTACAATGTCAATGGGTGGCGGTTATCACTTAACATCAGTTGAACCGCCAGCTTACTTGCCAATTTTTTCATATAAAAAAGTTATTCGTATTGCAATATGTAATTATAATTAAATTAAAATTTATAATAATTAAGTAGCGTATCAACATTAGAAGAGTGTAAGTATCAAACTTGTATAGAACGTATAACCGAGGAAGTATGATTTTAAAATACAGACACTTAATACATTTTTCAAACTAATGATTTACTGTATTTCGGCGAGAAATAAACAGGAATGGAATATAATTTGTTAATAGTTTGGTAATTAGCTGCGGTTACCACCAGATAAATGGTTGGAATGGTTTATAACTATGTTGGCTAACTCTTTAAAGTGTTCGTATAGCTTCGAGAGTCTGCAGTCGCTACGCAGGTTATACGGATACTTCATAGCACCAGTTGCGAGGCTGAAGATCGTATTTTGAACTTTCTGATGTTTATGCAGGTTTATGGGGCGTAGGACATACAAGCGTAAGCCACAAACTTTTGTAATGCCTTGTATGTTGTTAAATGAAACTATTAAATGTAATTATTTTTATTTAACAATTTATAATATTCACGTTAAAACAAGAAATCAACGTACAACTATTTTTTTTGGCATGAGGGCATGTTGCTCGAGGGATTATTTAACTTCAAGAGCCTACCCGAATAAAACGTGGCTCTGGCTCTTATATGTTTAATTTGTGTGGCGAATGACATTCTTGTGTCGAAAGTGACTCTTGGGTACTTAACTTTTTTTCCCAAGGGATCGGTTCTTCGAATAATGTGATTTGAACTAGCTTCTTCCTCGGGCAAGCTCGGGTCATTGGAAGGTTGGCGTTAGCTACGGGGTAGGGTAAGTAAAGTGTAATGCTAAACTCTTCTTGGGCCAGATTAGGTAGTTTCACGTCCTAATGTAAGAGTAAGCCCGGTCCATACTGTCTATTATTTTGAGACTTATTTTATTAAGACCTACTTGTACAACCATCGGTGCTGCACGTTTTAAATTGAATATTTTTATCGCTGAATTATCTACACGTTGATACAGTATTTACTTTATATTACGATGTTTCTTACAAGGAAATTTTAAAAGAGAATAGTATAGTTGAAATAAAATAAGTTTAAAGATGCCAATTGTTACACCAGAAGAAATACTTTTTTTTAAACGTCTTATCTTATCACAAAGTTGAGTCATCGTGCCTCAAAACCAGGTTGCTTCTTTTTCCGGTCGAACGAAAGTCCTTCGATGTTTCTTGGTCATTCCGCAACGTTAGCAGCGGCTTCGAGTAGGTCTTGATTTATTATACGCTTGAGAAATCAACGACTTCATGATGGACATCACGGCGGCTAGACATTATAATTATGTTCAGATAATCTGACCATCGCCACATAGTTTATGACCATCTCCTTTGCAACCTACCATTGTACCTCAAAGGGAGACGCCCATGTTCAGTCCAGAACTGATTCCCCCTGTCACCGCACGAAACTACTTATGGACACCCAATTCAATGGTCGGTCCAGACACCAATTCTTATTCTTATTACCCTGGATGACTTTAAGAAGGCTTGTGGCTTAAGAGTCAGTGACCACTATTCGGTACTGCGAAGTATGTGTTCCTATACAACCAGTATCCAGAGGGGCGCCCTAAATCTGAGCAGAGAGTGGGTAATTTAGGATCGTCGCAGAACAATTCATCGCTGTACGATCAGGCTCACTACAGGCGTAGCAGCTACCGCTACGGTCAACATTGTTGGGGCACGTTTAAGGCATATGTAGCAGGAATGGGGCATCGTCCCCAGCAATTTCCTATAATGATTAACTGGTGATCGACTGACTATTCCAACCGAAATGTCATCAGCCGAGTAATCACCAGCCGTGGTGACATGTGCTGCTATATCAAAATGAACAACAGAGTCTTCGAGGTCTTTAAGTCGATCGTCGCCCGTCTTCATTGAGTGATCGACACAGACTTTAAAACAAGTTCCGACAGAGTCGGAACTCTGAGACGATCTCGTGCATGTTGTGTCTATGTCTCTATGTCTATGTGAATGCTAGTGTCTAGCATTTAAATTTATAGTACCTGCACAATGTTTAAAAGTTCTAATTTCAAGTACTTTAACATAAAAAGTAAAACATAAAAGTAACATAAACTGCGAGGAGTATAATAACAAGCTCTTGTTAAGCTCTATTTGCTAACTCCCTTTCGCACGGTAACGCTTCTGCCAAACGGAGTTCATTAATGTCTGTTGGTGTTTTATCGAAACAGCTCTAGCTCAAACATCTTGGTTAAACTTGGTACATGGAGTCAGTGAATGTCAATCTTTTAAAAACGTATATACAGTTATTTAAGTTTTGCTAACAAACATTAATAGTTGCTGAAAAATATTAATAGAATTTAAATATGTGAAAATGTAAAAAATCAATTGTCAGCTTTTTGGGAAAGATACCATCTATTTATTCTAATGGATTTGGTTTCAGACAGTTTTATTAAGGCAAAAATTTGTTATAATTTAACGATACTTTGGATTAACTCTTATTCAAACGGTTAAAAATTAGTCACCTTAATGGATACTTGTTAAAATAGATTTTATTTTTTTAAACTTGTACAGACCTGTAAATGAAGATGAAGATGACTCTGTGGCCCAGTCGCCAAGGTATCGTCTTCGGGGTCGTGGGTTCGATTCCCACACGTTACAACTATTAATGTGGCCCACAGACAGTTGTCTCGCATCTGGGTGTTTGTCCGTGTGAAATTTATGTTTGTAAAACGTCCTTACAACGCAGGATAATGTTATCCTAAAGTAAAGGCAAAATTTTTTAAATCCTCTGAAGAGAAAAGGAATAAGAAGAATTGAATGAATTATTATTTGTATTAGACTAATTCTTTCTACCTCTTTATAATATCAATTGTTATTTTTATTCTTAAAAACCTATCTTAACAAAAAACTAGCCCACGTGGGCACTATGCCAAAGACGCTTGCTGCATTTCCTCTCTGAATAGTTAATATTCCTCAAACTAGTTCAGTCAAATCAACATTTAAAAATTCTTTGGCGACAGCCTTAACTCTGTTAAAGTCTTTGGAAATGGACCATTATGCATTTTAAATTCACAGTATAAACAATAAATTTTTTATTTATGTATGTGTAACATAAAACTAAATTTATGTCTTTATGGCGCAGTCCCTAAGCTATTGATTCCGACACTGGGGGGGTGAGTTCGATTACCACGCGAAACCAGAAATTGTGTGCCTCATACATAATTCTTCCGGGTCTGGGATAAATATGGACTCAACGTGTGTAACCCATAATTGTAAATTTTTCAAGATTGTAACATCAAAACATTTTTGTATACTCAAATGTTTAACTTGCTCCCCTTATGACCGTTTTTGTAGGTTTCAGTTTATACTATATATATTTATGTATATATAATGCCAATACTGTGACTCTGAGCATAATGTTGAGTTGAAATTGCTATTCCTCGTTCAACTATTGTTTCACATATAAGTTTGACAGCAGTCCGACGTCCTATCTTAGTACTAGCGGAAAGCGCAGTCTCGCTTTGCACAGACGTCATTTTTTCCGCAAAAAATACCTGTTCATTTTGGCTCCTAGTTATCGAGGTGTATTCTTGGTATGCTCCCCTTTCGATTTCCCGGTGTTAAAATCACCTAAAATTTTAACTCTTTTAATCTAGAGCCGATGCCTCAGCAAATAAATTGGATTTTATTGCAAAACTACAGATGTTTACAGCGTTGACCTTTATATGTATAAGTAATTTTATCGTTTTTTGGTTCATTTTTGGGGATGACTCTATTTAAAAAATGCATAATTGTGCATACCAGACGGTGAGGTAACTATTTACAGGAATTCTCTCACCTATTGGGTTAAGAAAAGATCTTTCTATCGATTGTGCTTAATTATATGATTATTAGGAAATAAATGCTGTTTCGCGGAAGGTTTTATAAGTACTGGTAAAAAGTACACATAGACAATAACAAAAATTTATGAATAATAAATACACTTTTTTCCCTGTTCCTGTAATGCCAATTGACATTTTAGTTACAACCTTAACCATTGAGCGTTCTGGCGTACATTGAATACTGCCTGTTTCATTGTCGAATTTGAGCTGTTTCTGGAAAATCTCTCTTCAAGCTGCTCTAGATATAGTTGAGAGGCGTGCAAAGATACGTATTAGTGAAGAAACCTACAAAGAACAGACTTTGGTTCCTTATTATCCAATCACCATTGAACGCTTAAGTAGGTCAGCAGGCCTCATTCAAATACGAATGTGTTGACGAAAATCAAAGAGCTGGTTCTATTCGCAATGTGGATCTTCAGCTTTCAAGATATACTCTGTAATGTAAAGCACTTGTATCCATTTTTCGAATACTTTGACTACTAAGTTGGAAAAACATTCGATGTATTTATAAAATTAATTAATATATTTTCCTTCAAAGAAAATTTTATAAATGACATGTTTTTTCTTAAAAGTGAATATATTTAAACGATACTATTCTTAGTATCGTTTACATATGTGCATAAACCATCTTTTGCTGATAACTTAATATACATATATTGTTAAACGAGAATCTTGCTATTCCATTCTTTGGTATGTTAATACTAAGCAAGTTTTCGTGTTACCAAGTGTTGAAGTCTGAGACGTTGAAAACGTGCAAAGAGATTTAAATTTCAAAGTCGTAAATTTCTAAAAGTTACAACCTGCGACGCGACATTTATTTTTCCTCCATCCGTATGTGTGAAAATAAGTTAAATGCTATTACTTACTTAAAATTGTCTTGATGAAATATTGCCTAGGAGTTCTTATTGGTGTTCTCTGAATCCAATTTTACGCTACTTTTAAAAATAATACGGATTGTAAACAAAATTGCATTGCACGAGGCTTTAAAAACCATGCTCTGATAAGAACTTTTGTTTGGAGCCAAGCGAAGGAATTCTAATTCTGAAGTGGCAACAGGGCACATAGCTCGTAGAATTGATGGCCGATGGGGCAGCAAGGTTCTGGAGAGGAGACCACGTGTCGTAAAGCGGAGCGTGGGGCGGCCACTCGTGAGATGGGCTGATGACCTGACTAAGGTCGCGGGACTTCGCTGAATGCAGATCGCTTCTGACCGATCGAAGTGAAATCGCTATAGGAGGCCTATGTTCAGCAGCGGAAGCTTACAGACTGAAATGGCGGTATTCCCGGACCAACACGACTTAGGGACCTTCAAGAAGTAGGGAGCCTACTCCTACATTAATAAAGGCCGGCAACGCAGATATGACTAAACCCGTGTTGCAATTGTCCATGGGTAGCGGTGATCGCTTACCATCCCACTTGCTCGTTTGCCTTCTTTTCTTTCATCATCGACATCGTCATTTTTCACTAAAAAAATGACGATGACGATGATGAAAGAATTCATATGCAATTCATTCATATTTTGAATTTGTGCATTTGGTAACCAAAACACTCAACACTATTTACTTATAAACTTCGCCTATTCTGTTGATTTAAATATTAATATTTAAATGTAGCAAAATCCGTAAAATAGCTTTATTTACAATCTGTCGTATAAAAAAAGAAATGGGGTTAAAATACGGAATGACTAAAAATAACCATAATATATAGGTTTATAATTTAAAAGTAAGCAACTTAAAATGAAAATTTTCATAACTTTCATAAACTTCAGAAATGTGTTGCTTAATTAAGCATAAGTGATTCATTCAAAGCTAAGCCGACACGCCGCTGTTGACCTCATTACACTAAGAGCGTATTTTCTGAACTTTCATAATCATGTTTATGTTATGAATGTTAACAAAATAATTGCTCACTCACCAGATGAAACCCAAAAGTATAATATTTCTTTCCCCTGAAACCTGGTCCAGGCCGGTGAGGATGTCGACCTTACCTTAGTGGCTAGAGCATCAGGCCGGTGCAGGTTCGTATCCTGACAGTGGTGAAATAACTTTTTAAGTTTCCTTTTAAGTTAAAACTTTTTGTGTTTCCTTTGCTATACATTTCTAAGTTTCCTTTTAAGGCGCTGTATGCAGTGAATTTTTATCTATTTGGGTGGTGAAGTATGAGGAAGCGGAGGAGGGGTAACGCCGCTTAGCGGCGCGCAGCGCGAGAGTTTCGTCGACGCGCCGCTAGGCCAAGTCATTCATTACCTAGTGTGTGTGTAGTGATGGGCGGATACTACCGATAGTATCATGGAAGGCTTTCGAAAATGTACACAGATGATCCCTATAATATTTTTATAGACCATGATTGTATTTTACTTTTATATTATAATAGGAAAAATAATAAACAAACAAATATAAAGTATGAGAAAGCATAAAAACAATTTTAGAAAATCTTCATCCTGTTTATTTTTTTTTAATTAAATGGAAAAGGAAATGATTAAAAATAAATCTTAAAGTCAAATTAATTAATAAAGGCAAATTACTCATTATTATTATTTTTGTTTTTATGGTTTATATTGTGATTTTAAAGAAATGGCTCATAAAATTTTTGCAGAAATTACGAATACAACTTTTTTATTCCATTTTTATATATATTAGGATTTTTAATTTATCCTTTATATGTTCAAGACTTACTATGTTATATTACGTTTTCAACTCAAATGAAATTTTAAAATTATCGATAACATCCTTATAAGATAAATTTTCGTTTTAGGGTGAACAATTAAATAAATTAATAAAAAAATAGATGACGTTAAAAATGCTTAATACTAAGAGTTTGGTTTACTAGTTTAGTTTTACTGATAGATTGTGCTCCAACTGTTTCAACTTTGAACAAATACAACAATATTTCGTTGTAATTATTTATTAAACTAAAAATCAACAATAATTATATGGTAATTAAGAAATACATCCAAATAAGAAAATCAACAATAAGTACAACAAATTTAGGGATTTGAACCCAATCCATAAAGAATGATGGTCCTATACACTG